GTAGCCAAAATGCAACCAAAACATTGAATCACTGAGCTGTTTGTTTCTTTTGTTCTGCAAACAAGCCGCACAGTCAGCATCACCTACAGCTTTATTGACAGCTTGTTACCTGGATCATAAAATACTTTATGCTGCAGGGAAGAATAAAAGCTGATACCCCAAACCTCAAGACATCAGTAACATTAGTTTATCACCTCTATAAATGTGAAATGACTTTAACAAAAATGTTCAATGTGTTTCTTTCTTAAAGAAAAAGTTCTTGTTTGGGCCCCAGATTTGGGCATAAGGTGAAAGAACCTCTTGGCCTTCTTTCCAAAATGACCTAAATCTGCACTCGTTTCTATCAGGCAGCCAGGAGTAATCTTTGGCTCTGATTTCACTTTTTACATGTCAAACTTCTGGTTCGCGCTTGTTTTTAATCACTTGTAAATTATTGCCAAGTTAAGTCCCATTGAGTCACGTTCTGAACTGGAAATTATTATTCAGGTACTTATTTCATCACATGTGGATTACTGTAATTGTATTTTTACTTGTCTAAGCAAAAACGTCCTTGGAACATCTGCAGGTTTTTCAGACCACTGCTGCGAGGCTTCTCACTACATATTCCAAGTTCTTATGTCACACCATTGCTCTGCCAGCTACACTGGCTTCCCATTGAATCGGAATCTGCTTTTCACTTTTAGAGCTCTTCACAGACCAGCACGTGTCCACCTTTACACCCCATACATGCCCAGCAGGGATGCATGGAGGTAAAAGGTCTTATCTTTTTAGACTTGAGGTGGGTTAACTCTTTTATGTTATATTTTGTTGTTAAGCGCTTTGTGATGTTTATCTCAAAAGGTGCTATAGAATGAATCACTTTGACGAGCCACAGGGATTACTTGTCCAAACACTGGTTCACTTTTAAGCGATTTCCACAGGAAACTGGGTTTGGACTAACAGAGCAGCTGTTCAGTAGAACTGTATGACACAGGTTTGACCCAAGATCAGCTGCTCTGTACATCCACACCAGCTGTCAGTATCTGTCAGCAGGTGCCATCTGTTGCTGAAGTCAAACACTTAGTCTAAATTTTCCATCCAAACCCAAGTGCAGATATATTTGAGATACCATTTGGCTTTATTTTTTATTTTTTCCAGGTTTTGTAAAACATATTTTTGGGGAGAAGATCCACAGCTTTCTTCCCCCCGCCCCCCTTTCTTCTTCTTCTTTATCAACAAGAAAATTAAAGCATCCGTGTTTTACTTTATGTCTGTATTCACATGCGTAACTGCCGGAGCAGCACATCAACATTTCTCAGCGCTGTGCTACAGTTTCAAAAACGTCAAACGTTAACACTGATCAAAGCTCACCTTCTAACAAAATAATATTGCACTTAAACTTTCACACCAGCCAACACTTTTCCTCACACTTATATTTTGACGTCCTTGCCTTTACATTCACACAAATATAGTTTATCCTCATACAGACACATCAGTAAGAAAGTCTTCTTAAAAAACACAAGGGGCTAGAAATTACACTAATTTTCAAAAGGAAGTTTTTCTACACTATACTTGTACAAATCTCGGGTATTTTTCAAGTGCTATACAGCAAGAAGAAATAGTGTTTATTTTAAAATAAAATTCCAGCTGGCTACTGCTCGTCCTCGTTTTCCTGGCCTGAGCCTTCGGAGCGATCGCCTTCTACTCGATCTGCAAAGAGGAAGAGGCAAATATTAAAGAGAGGCTGAGATTGGTCTAACAAAAACAGCGTGCTACATGCGTGTGTGTGTATGTGTGTGTACCTGATCTGATGTGATTGAGGGAGGCCAACATTCGAAGCATGAAAGAGGCCGGGACTGTGATCGTGTTTCTCGTTTCCTCCAACATCAGCTCATTCCGAGTGATGACCTTGATGGGAAGAGAAGAAGAAGAAAGGTTTTACGGTGGGTTTGGTTTTTTTCTTTTCTTTTCTGTGGGTTGACTCTACCTCCTCAGCGAGGACTCTGTTGAAAGACGGCGATTCTTCCAGTGGTGACCAAATCTTGATGTCATAATCTATCCCTGAAGAAGCCAGAACTGAAACAAAGCAGGAAATGAGAGCAACGTCAACAAGTGAGGAAACATTGTCTGGGTTCAGGCGGGACATCCGCGGGACTCACTGGGGTCGTAAGGGTGCGGCTGCAGGCAGTTGACCACGTGGTTGTCGGCTTCAAGTAGCATGAGGTGCTCTGCGGTGTGTCTGTCCCAAATGAAGATGTGGCCGCAGTCTGAACCACTCATCACAAAGTTGTTGCCCCAGAAACACGACTCCTTTATCTACACACAGTTAAAAGGGAACATTGAGTATTTTGGAAACTGCACTCTTCAAATTTCACAGAGTCTGATGACAACAATTAAAACACTGATATCAGAGCCAGTGGATTATTATGAGTTCAGACTAATACAACACGCGTGGCCCGAGGTTTACCATTGTCCTGGAGTTGCGGTGGCCTTTGTAGACCATTTTGACGGAAGGTCTCCTGATATTCTGAGTCTCGCTCTCCTCCATCTCCCTCCTTTCTTTCCTCCTGCGGAACAGCTCCTGAATACGAGCTGCTGCTGATTGTCTAAGAAAAACAAAACAAAACAAAAAAAAAAGAAAGAAACCCCAGACTCATACACGTGCCTGAAAGCAAACAAACCCATGCTGTCAGTGCTGCCTCAAGTCTCATGCTTCAGACCTATGCTACACGGATATTTTTTTTAAACCATTAACAAGATTGTATCAAACAAGCTCCAGGTGAGAAAGCAGCCACTTGCAAGCGAAAGCAGCCACTTGCAAGCGAAAGCACCTGCCTGATCCATCATAACCGACTCAAGCCAATAAAAGTTTGTTCTTGTCAACCTTAGAGTGACTTCAACCAGATATACACTGTTACAGTATTGTACACAAAGCTAAATCCAGAAATGTTTTAATGGTACAATTTTCATAATTTTGACCAGACAAGCCACCAGAATAGATCTGAAAAATAAAAGAGAGAGAGGGGGCAATAAAGACACAGAGGAAGTGTAGCCTTTCAGCTTTAATTTGAGGAAGGTAATGGGTTAGCATTTATGGAATTATGCACACTGCCTAATTTTGGGGTTGTCAAGTAAATAATTCACTCAATTGGCATGGAAAAAAATATGTTATTACTACATGAATTTAACAAATAAATAGTCTAGAGGGGATTCCATTCTTGGCATTTGCATTTGGAAGCTGTTGCAGTAAAACCATAACACGGGCTCAAAGAAGCTCTAAATGAAAGGAAAACAGGCCACCATTAGGCTGTGACACTACGAGTGGCCTAATAAACAGCCTGGATGATTACAGGATACTTTCCATGATAAAGAACTCCACCACCAGAACGTCTGGTCGAGTGAAGAACTCTCAGCCACATGCAGTAAAGATCACATCTTCATGGTCTCCTTCACGTATCCAATAGTCATGGAACACCACTGCAGAGACAGCAACTGGCTTC